TGCTGCTTGGCCTGCTGTGTTCATCCAGCCCTGCACCTTGTTGTCTTGAAATCAGAAATGAAGACGCGTTGTCGTCACAAAGGTCGCTCGCTGCGCCCCATTAGGGAAGGTAACGGTGTAGTGGGCGGGGCTAACATGGAGCTGTGACCCCGGGCTGGCCGTGACCCCAACAAATGCTGCAGAGGCTGCAAGGATGAAATAAAACCAGAAATTGCTGGAGAAACTCAGCAACTTTGGCAGCATCTATGGAGTCAGAAACAGAGTTAACGTTTCGAATCCAGTATAACTCCACTTTAGAACTGGGCTTGACCAGTACTCAATCCTAATTGGACAATCATTTTCTCTATTGGCAGATATTAGAATTAGGGTCAGGAGTAGACCATTCAGTCTTTCAGCCTCTGAAGTGACTGCACTCCAAGCTCTCAGATCCAACCTTGACTTTGTTATCAAGACTGCCATCAAGGCTGTGGTGCTGTTGTTGCCGGACGTACAGACCTCTACATTTGTGGAGACTAAGCACCAGCTCTTAGACACCTCCTCCCATCTCCTCCTGGGACATGACCCTGCCATCAAGCATCAGGCCATTGGGTCTACAATGGTCACCAAACTCATGCCATCTGGAGATCTCACCCCCAACAGCTTCCCAGCCCCTGGTCCCCCAAAACTGTACAGTCCACTCTACCTTCTCCCCAAAATGCATTGGCAGGATTGTACATGTGGACCCATTGTTTTTGTCTGTTCCTGCCCCATGGCACTTATTTCTTAATATATCTACTGAATTCATTTTCTGCCCTTGTCTAGTCCCATTCCGCTTACATCTGTGATTCTTGTAACGTTTTATGTTGATTTCAAAATTTCCAGTTCACAGGCCCAGCAGCCTCCTCTTCAACATGGTATGCAATCTCTTTTGCACATCTAACCCCTTCAGGATGGTCTCAGGGCTCTCCCCTTCTTCCTGGAAAAATGGTCTGAACCATCTCGATTCACCACCATTCTTTTCTGCCTGGTTGAACTTGTCCTCACCTTAAACCACTTCCTTTTTTAACCCTTCTTACATTCTTCATGTCAAAGTTGTGGCCATGGATACCTGCATGGGCCCCAGTTATTCCTATCTCTTTGTGGGATATGTGGAACATTCCTTGTTCGAATCCAATTGGGGCCCCTTCCCACAACTCTTTCTCCGGTGGATCAATGACATCATTGGTGCTGCTTCCCTCTCATTCTAAACTGCAAAATATTTATCAAGTTTTCATCCAATTTCCATCCTACCCTCATGTTCACTTGGTCCACCTCTGTTCCTCCCTTCCCTTCCTTGACATCTCCATTTCCATTTCTGGGGATAGACTGGCTGTCGACTTCCATTACGAACCCACCAACTTGCACAGTTACCTGGACTATATACCCTTGCACCCTGCTTCCTGTTAAGATTATATTACATTCTCCCAGTTACTTCATCTCCATTACATCTGATCTAACAATGCCATCTTCACAGGGGGACCTCAGAATTGTTCACATTTTTCCTCAACACACCATGCTTGATAGGTCCCTTAGCCATGTCCAGCCCATCTCTCACACTTCTGTCCTCACTGCTTCTCTTCAATCCCACAAGAATGATAAAGTCCCCCTGGCCCTCTCTTATCACCCCACCAGCCTCCTGATCCAAAGGATCATAAGCTGCCACTTCCATCACCTCCAACGGGATGACACCACCAGATACTATTTCCCTTCCCTCCCTTGTCAGCATTCCCAAGAGACTGTTCCCTCTGGGGAACATCTCCCTACAACCCTGGGCACCTTCTCCTGCAATTGCAGAAGGTGTAACATTTACTTCCTCCCTCCTCACTATCTCAGGCACAACTTCTGGGTGAAGCAATGGTTTACCTGTATTTCGTTCAATCTAGTTTACTGTATTCGTTGTTCACAATGAGATCTCCTCTACATTGGAGAGACAAAATGCAGACTGGGTGACCATTTTGCAGAACACCTATGTTCTGTCTGCAAAAATAACCCAGAGTTTCCATTTGCCTGCCACTTCAACACACCACCTTGTTCCCAAGCCAATCTTTCTATTGTACCTCTTCTGCAGTGTTCCAGCGAGCCTCAGCACAACCTCAAAGAATAGCATCTCATTTTCTACTTGGGGACCTGCAGCCTCTAGGACACAGCATTTTGTCCTAAAACTTTAGCGGCTGATTCCATCCTTCCTTGTTTTTTTACCCACGCCTAGTCTTGTTATGTATTTAGCAGAATCAACCCACTTTCACCCACTCTTAGGCCTATTATCACATTACATGTCTTGCTCTACATAAGACCATCAGATATGTTCCGCCATTCGATCATGGCTATTATCTTGCTTAACTCCATTCTCCTTCCAGCACAGACTACCTATTCACTGACTATCACTCATTCACCTTCTTTTCTATCCTGGCCTGTCATCCATCATACTCTTATTTAACTACCCTTTTTATGTCTCTCTCTCTCTCTCTCACACTCACTCTGGGTACCATTTCCACCTATCCAATCACCTCACACTTCCCCCACTACCACCCTGAGGTCTTCAACATAAATACCAGCTTTTTTTCCATTGCTATTAGCTCTGAAGAAGAGTCACCAGATTGAAAGCATTCACTCTGCTTTCTTCCCACAGTTGCCACAAAACTCAAAGTAAAATGAAACCAAAAGTCTCCCTCTCTACGTTATGCTGCTCTTTCCCAGTGATGCCTACATCCCATTTAAAAATAAATAAAGAGAATCTCCTGTGCACAACTGTAGCAAAATATTCCTATTTTTATATTCCCTTTGTTGATTGGTGGCTGAAGTGCCATTTACTATGATTGACGGAAGATCATGAGTTTATAAATCCTTTGTAGTGTGATGATATTCTTTAAAAGGTTCAAGTTTTGCAAGCTAATGTATAGTTGCTAATTTGCTATTGGTCTTAAAGATAATCTTTAAAATGTGTACCCTATGTAATGTAGCCTGATATTGCTGAAGTTGGTCAACATTGTCTCCTTTCGTTCAGATCTGCTGTTGATGTACAGAGTGATGTACATCTGTGAGCAATTCAAGCTGGCAAAGTAAGCTGTGGCAAGAGTGAGGTCATGTTCCCTTGATCTATGTGGCACAGGTCTGGCCCATTCCCATTCCTGGTCACCTGAGCCATATCCGCTTCATGTGGAAGTTGAAAATGGACCGTGTTCATAGGGAAATGCTGTACAAATCTCTAGGTGAAGGGCAAGGAATGAACCCAACATTACTCTCATCATGAAGGCATTTTTAGTTGCAGCTGCAACAAGTGCAAATCCTCAGTATAGAAGCACCAAGTGGCACTACATGCTGAGGGTCTACTGAGGTTCATTCAGTGTTGCAAAGAAAGGGTCTGGTCACATTGCCATGGAATGCTCCACTCAGTTCGACCTGCTATACCACCTATTCCCTTCGGACAAGTTTATGCAAAACAACCTTTAACTATATGTCTATCAGGCAGTGGTCAGCATATAATGTTCTTGAAGCCCTGAAGGAAAAAGAGACGGTATATCCTGTTGGATGTTTCCCTGAACCGGCTACCAAAATCATTTGCAGAATGCCTCTTCACCAGAGCTTTCAAACAAACACTAAGATGTAACTTGGCAGGTAGTGAGAAAGACTTCCACCATCAGATCCTTTGTAATCCCCTGAGACTTACACCCTCCGCACATTACCCCCAATTTGTTCTCAACCACACATTGCAGACTGGAAAATTCCATGCTGACAGACACACTAAAGCTCGGAGCAGCTGCCACTGAGTCTCAATGGGGAAAGATCGTAGTCTAATGCTTTCAGCCATAGTATACGGAGGGTCTAGAAACTGGATAAAACTCCTGAGGCTCTATGTTTGAAATAAATATTGCGACCATCAACTCTACTGTATTTGTAAATGTAATGAGTAACAAACAGCTCTGGAAGAAATGGATTAAGGTTTGTATCTTATTTAATGTCAACTTTGAACAATCATTTGATGTACTTTTGTAAGTGAAGCTTTATGAATAAAGTATATTTTCATTGTGTTGATGGTGTTAGTGTAGGGTGTGGGGGGTGGGGGTGTGGATGGAAGTCTCTTATGAAAAAGACATTGCTTTTTAAAACGGCTTTCCTGGTAGGCACATGAGGTCTCTGATGGATTCACCAGCCTCCTGCAGCAGAAGTTGTAAGATGGTATATTGCATAGGGACCTTGACCTAACCCTTTTCTGTGACTTTTGAACCCCACTTACACCTGAACAACGCTGAAACAACCTTGAAAAATCTGCCAATGAACTTCTGTTCCCTCCCACAAGAGGCTGCCTGACTACAGTATTTCGTGTTTATGTTTCAGATTTCCAGCTCTTGTTGCATTTAGCTTGTTTTGATATATTTTTTGTAGTTCAATTAGAAACATCTTGCTAAAGAACAGGGTTAGTATGTAGGCTTCTGTTATATCAGTTTCTCCATACCAGCTGTCAGCCTCAGACTCAATACGTAACAGAAATTCCTACTGTGGTTAAAAATAGCAAAAGCAATAAGGATCATAGAAATGGCTGCAGTGTCAGATTCGTCTGTACGCTTCCACAATATCCATGGAACCAATGTGAGACTGGATGTTTCTCAGACTGAGGCGACAAGAACAGACAGCTTTGGCAATGGGATTTGTTTCAGTGAAGAGCCTCTGGATCCTGATAAAATTTTCCTTATAGAAATTGCAGAGAAAGAGTTAGGGTGGTGTGGGAATGTAAGGGTTGGTTTGACAGCGCACAATCCAAAAAACCTAGAATCAGTTCCTGAATATTCTCTTCCTGATTTAGTAAACTTGGGAAGCAGTTGGGTTTTTGCAATAACCAGGAATCACAATAAGGTCTCCACCGATGATCAGGAATCCAATCCTGCTCCACTGCCATGCTGTTCTACAGAGGCCTACTTGCAAATTGGAAAATGTAAGATCCCTAAGGACAAATTGGTAGGAAGAAGCAGGCCAGGAAGGTACAGTCACCTCTTGGATGAACTGTATAAGACAAATGTTCTTCCTGCAACTGCCAGAGGAAGCAGAGTTGGGGTCTTGTATACCACTCACAGTAATATGGGAGAAATGCACATTGTCATCAATGGAGAAGACATGGGTCCCTGCGCCAGAGGAATCCCCATTAACCAGCCTCTCTATGCTGTTGTAGATGTGTTTGCTTCCACTAAGACTGTGAGGATTATACAAGTGGACTATGGTTGTAAGTATCATCTAAACAGTTCTATTGCATTAATATATTCTTTCAAATAGAATTATTTAATGGTTAATATTTTATCTGCACTCCTGACTGACTATGCATAAATGTTTTGCATCTTTACTTCTTACATATGCTGGAGTAGAAACTAGGTTGATTTATTTGAAATTCTGAAGAAGTAATACTTCTTATTTTACGAACTAAACTTAGTGCAGCCACGGCCATGCAAGCATTGAAACTGTATTCAATGAATCTAAAGCAAACTTTGCTCAAAATCTTTGCAGTCGATTACTTCATCATCCACTTCATGTCAGCTATATAAATTAGGAACTTATTTTGATCATGCACATTTTCTAATATTTTAGCTACAATATAAAAATAATGCATAACACATCACACAAAGAACATGCTGTATAATTCCAGTGTATACTGTTTACTTCATATTCCCAGATTTCAGTTTTTCCTTATCCATGCTATAGCAGCACTTTTTAATCAATCAAATTATTAATAACATTATCAACAGCCAAACTATCAATATTTTGATATATTATAAATTGACCTAATGGCTGAGTTGAATTGGCTCACTGCACAAATGCACAGTCATGTTTAAATTTAGAGAAATTGATTGATTATTGTTACATGTACCAAGATACAGTGAAAAGTGTTGTTTTGATAGACTTAGAATTGAGCTTCGGAAGAGCAGAACGATTATTAGATATATAAGAGTAAGATCTGCTGTAGACAGCTCGCAAAATGTCGCCATCTTGAAAGGCGAAATTGTTGCTTGTATACACTGTACTGGAACAAAACCAGACAGATACAATACTATTGTAACCAAGTTAATTTGCAATAGCAATACATAAGGCCAAGAAGTATGTGAATTCAGATTTGAATGCTTCCTTCCAACCTCTCAAAAAAGAGAAATGCAATTTTCATAAAAAATCAAGTGACTGTCCTCCAATCGAGTCACTGCTTGGATTTGTGACTCCTAACAACTGTTTGTATCTCTGGGTCAATCATTCATTACACACACATAAATATATAGCTCCGGATTGAGAGTTATATATCAAATGCATTGATACCTCTAGGATATATCACTTAATAATGTAATTTTCTATTTTCTGTATTTTTATTTCTGCAGTTCCATCTCTACAGACACTGTGTCGTCAGCTTGTTCAGAAATGCATAATGCATAGACTTGCCATCGACTGGCTAGATCTACCTGACCCTTTAAAGAATTACTGCAAATATGAATGATTGTTGATGATAAGTGTTGTTTGAAAAAATTATTTGATATTGGTTCATGATGAATGTAGTAAATCCTTTGCTTTTATATTAGCATTCATGTTAGGAAAATCTCTAATTTTATGATTCAAATGGTTTAAAAGTAAAGCTTTTAAATTAGAATAAAATTTTCTTTAAAGAAAAGATATTGCAACTGGTTTGGGAAGTTGTTTTACAAAAAATATGATCAAGTGCAGATGTGCGGGAATTACAATTCTAAAGTGAAGTTCTATTTTGTTGCTGGGAATGGTGATAAAAATGCATTCACACCTATGATTGTGATGGCTACTTTGGTCTCATGACTTTTGGAAAATGCTTTGAAGTTGGAGTGTTAACCAGAGAGGTATTATTCATGTAGATCTCTCAGATAAAAGGAGTGAAAAGTAACATGTAAACATAGGTTTTCTTTCTGGAACCAGTAAAACTAGTATGAGCATTGTTATTTCCATACACATTGGAAATAGACAATACTCATTCATTTGAGCACCACACTCAGAAGGCTATTTTGAAAGGAAAAAATCAATGGTTTAAGTCTCCATTTGGGATTGCATCCCGACTGTGATATTGCCATGGGGATAGATTGTAGCGAGCTACCCTGTCATGCGGGGTTTATCCATGATTTTCATGTAGAAGCAAACAGACTCACCTTGAATGACTGTGAAGAGGTAACTGTGCATCTGCCATGAGCCAGAACAAGGGGCATAGTGGCTATTAGGAATCAGAGATATTCCTGATCTGAAGTAATGAAGCAGAATTCTGAGTGGTACCAATGTTTGAAAGTGCTTGATTTTGTTTTCTTTATTCAATCATGGAATGAGAGTGTCGTTTTTAGGCAGCATTTATTGCCCATCTCAGTTGCCCAGAAGGCAATTGAGAGTCAACCACATTGCTGTAGATCTGGAGTTGCACGTAGGCCAGACCAGATAAGGATGGCAGTTTCTTTCCCTAGACGACATTAATGAACCAGATGGGTTTTTCCAACAATCGGCAATGGATTCATGATTATCACTAGATCCTTAATTCCAGATTCTTTTAATTGAATTCTAATTCCACCATCTGCCGTGTTGGGATTCAAACTTAGAACATTACCTTGGTCTCTGGATTAACAGTCCAGCAATAATACCATTAGCCCACTGCCTCCTGAATTAAAATTGTTGAATCTGTTCAGCAAAGTCAGCGGAAGAGAGATTGATAGTCACAGTCACTGACAGAGAAAGAGCTGAGAAAGTCTAATTGCCCGACTGGGAAACTGGCGATTCAAAAATCAATTCCTAACAACCGTGATGTGCTGTGGTTTGACTCAGGAAAAGTTAAGGAACCCTCAAGATGTTGTAGAATTTTGAGGAATCCTTAGGTAGAAATAAAAATAAACCAGCAAATATTCTATTGAGATTAACAGGCTTAAAAAATTTATAAAATATAATGCTAACTTAGTAGTTCTTGCCTTTCTGATTCTTGTGCAGTAAAAGCTTTTATTTAAAACGTTAAATCTTGTGGGGGAATTTTCAGTAAGTTATCGGGAGTTCAAATTTCTTTTTAAAAAGTTAATTGTTTCCCTTGAAATCATATCATCCATGTAACTTATTCCTTCATTGCAGTTTCTTTTTCTACCCTTCTTTTAGAATAAACAATAACGTGTAATCATATACAGAATATGAAAAACACATTTTGAAATAATAGCTTATTTATTCACCAAGGTTAAAATATCAAAATCCATAAGTCTACACTTCCACTTGTTCTCCAATTTCATAAATTATGTCACCAATTAAAGTTGTTTTACTCCCTGTACCTTCAATCTCTCTTCCTCCACCTCCTTCCCATCTTCTACCATGCCTCACACATTAGATTATATTTCTAATGCACAGTATTTGATTTGGGCTCATTTTCTGAAAATTACCACATCTCACTATTACTTCCTAATAGGTAATTTGTTCTTGCTTCACAGATTTTAATTCCACTTGTTTCAATTTAACTGCATGATCTTTCTTGATCGGTGGCTCAGGGATTATCCTTCATCTGTAGCTCCTAATAAATGGTGGCATCATCACTCTTGTTGCTCTTGGTCTCAGTCATCACCTAGCGTCTTCATAGTTGTGACTGACTGTGTAACTACAAGACCTAGAATAATCTTATTATTGTGGTATGCAATTAGAAACCACAAGTCAAATGCTGGTACTGATAATTTGAAGGACAAGAGATTCAACTGTCCATACATTATTAAAGAATCCAGAGGGCCCAATGCCAATTTGTTGAAATAACCTGTGAAAGTGCAACAATGAAAATGCAGCTTTTCTTATGAACGCCACATTAGAAAACAAGTAATAACGAAACTCCTGTGGAAGTAAGCATAAACTGGAATCAGAAAGAGGAACCTCAGATTTTATCAACTCAACTTTTGAGGAGGTCAGCAAAATATACAGATTATGCCATTATCTAATTTATAACTGTCATCTGGAACTCAAAGATAAAATACTGTCTCAGGTTCACTCAGATGGAGCTCATGAAAATGTCTTTCTTTAGTTTTGAGTAATATTTTATGTGACAATCATATAACTGATGAGGAAGCTGACAGATTTGGGGTTGAAACTTCTTGGAAATTTGATATATAAACACTTGCTCATACACATAAGGTTTAGTTCCGATCTTGATTAAGCAGACAGGCAAGTACTTTCCACTGAAGTTTTGAAACTCAAGTTGTTTCAAAGGACACAGAGTGTATCTATGGTGAGTTATGGCAAATAAATCTATGGTAAAATATTATGGGTTTATGTCTCCTGACTCAATCCTTGTTTTCGCAATTCTCTTTATTCTTTTTTGAAATCATCAATGAAACTAAAGAAACAGATTAGATCAAATTAAACCAAATTAAAATTTGACAGTCTCTTAAAGGGCATACATACCAATACTGTAGCAAAAACAAGAAGTTCAAAGCAAATTTAAACTAAAATGTCATGCTGGGTAGAAATGATGTACCCCAGTCCTTGTGATGCCCATCTCTGTATGGGCACCCATGTGTGATCATAAACACAAAAGGGGGACAGGCAGTCAGGTATAACAATCCTCTTCATCGTCTGCTGCCTGGACCTGTTGATGGCCATCCAAACCCATGAGAAGGTTCTCCAATCTGCCCAATCCCTCCAAATCAGTTGGCGAAACATGAGGATCATGGGGCTGAACTGCAACCAGAAATTGAGCAGCAGCCCTCTCAAAAAGTGAATGATGGTTTTCAAGCTTGCACAATCCATATATATATGAACACCGTGTTCTCAAGGACACAAAAAGCACAAACAACCTGGGAGATTATGAACCATCTGAGATTCCTGTTGCATGGGACTACCGCCAATTCCATGATGGTTGAGAGTCTCCTTATATGTGTCTGTTGTTCTTTTCTAATCAACCTGTTTAGAGATGTTACTAGACACCTCTGGGGCAGATGAGACATGAACCTAAGCCTCCTGGCTCAGAGGTAGGGATACTGTCACTGCACCACAAGAGCCTCCCCTCCCCCCTCTCCATATGTGCTCATAGATATTTTCTAATCAACCTGATCAGAGATATCATTGCATGACTCTAGAGTAGATGGAACTTACATCTGCGTCTCCTAACTCAGAGCTAGGGATACTACAACTACACCACAAGAGCCCTTATACGTGCTCATATAACCATCTAATAAATGGCCTCCACCATTATTTACTGAACTTTAATTAATTGGCTAAAAGTGGGAACTAGCATGCTTTGTAACAGAGGAAGAACAACTTTGAATGTTTCTGGTCAATTTGATTAGCTAGGGCCTTCATCACTCACAGCAACACGAGAGATCAATACGTTCGCTGCTGGCGATTTACGAAGCAGGTTGAGGAAGACTATGGCTACTAAAGAAGGTAGGTCTTGGAGTTTTTATATAGTGAGCGATCCTACAGCCCTAAAGCAGAGATGTGGAGAAGGGTTTGAGAGACAAGTTCTGTCAGAATGTGAATGGAAGAGTAATACCTTAAATATTAACAGGCCATTCCTTAGAATAAGTGCCTCTTTATTTTTAGCTTTGTTTATGTAGACCTTTAAAAATGGCCTGCCCACTTCTGCCTAATTGCCACTTCAGCTCTATTATTCAAATCAATTGACTTCTTATAATAATGAATGTTTATTTGTTCATTTAAAGATGACAGGCAGCACTAAAATTTGTAGTCCACCCACTATATTATGTGGATGAGCAATTGATGGACTATCGCCCCCTGATCTATTTTAACTGGCCCCCAACAGAAACCAGTGTCTAGTTGGGGAATGTAAAATCCATCTCTTGCATTTACATTGTGCATTTCATTGCTATTGTACATCTCAATTGAGTACTTTATAAAGGTAGCATTGCTGTATTGTAGGGAACAGCCAATTTGTTCACAGCAAGTTCCCTCAAACAGCAATATGATAATAAGAAATAATCTATATTTATGATAATTGAGAGATTGAGGAACAAATATTTGGGGCTAGCCTTCCATTCACTTGTGAGGTATGCCTGATACCTGCTATCCCCTAGTAAGAACTGAAGACTATGCTTTTCAGTTATCTAATGACTAATTAATAATAACCTTTAGGAAAGATAAAGGGACTGTTTATAGGACACTGTTGAATCCAAGTCAGAATTATTAACTCAGAATGAAATAGTGAAACCAAATGGATCTTCATAGAGGCTTTCAAGATTCCAGAATGCAGTCGACAATGGCTAGTCCAATGTCTCATTCGTGTGACCAGGGAAAGGAGTTCTGCGACTAGGGGCAATGACATTTTCCTAACAATTAGGATGACCCTAACTGGACTAGTTGCAAAAATTACAAGTATTTTGTGCTGGTAAATTGTGCAACTCTAGTTTGCATAATTCAAAAGATTCTAAAACCTTTCCTTTGAGCTTAGATATTTAGGAATGTGATCCAAAGGGAAGAAAATGTGTACTGTTCATCACACAAATGGAAATACTTGGC